CCTCTTCTGAATGTTTTCAATTATGTGAGGGTAGTTTTCTTTCAGACCATTCGGGCTTAACTGCTTCTCCTCGAGAATGTTTCTCTTTTTTATCCCCTCTTTGTATAGGGTCCATGATCTTGGGACCCCAAACCTCGAATCTTCCCCGCTCTTCTGCCTTGCTTCAGCTTGTAGGTCAATTGATGGCAGGATGTCCATTTTAGCCCCCTCTTCTTCAGACTGGGAGGAGTGCTCAGCAGTGTTGCAGGTGGTTTTCGGCCATTGGCGCTTATACTGTTGTGCTTGTTGGTTCGGAGTAGCTCTTTTCTTCCCACGAGCAGGTGGTGATCATGTTGCAATAGATTTCCTTGGTGCCATTCCTACAATAAAACAATGCGTGAGTGGTGGTCATAGCATAAAAAAATATGCAGGAAAAATAACATAGATAAACAAGTTATGCGATGGGTTATGCGGTCGCATATACACTATGCGGACCGTAAACTTATCGCAGAATTTCATACCCCATGCTTAAGGGATTATGCGATCGCAAAAACCACTGCAAAACCAGTTGTGCGATCGCAAAGGGATCGCAAATTTGCACACACGAAAGGTAGTTTAACTGATTTTATTTGCGGTAGCTATGCGATCAGCAAAACACCTTTGCGAACGCATAAGCGGTCGCATAAGTTCAAATCACTAGGCCTTCTAGGGTCTTGTTTGTGACGACTGTGCGGATCGCAACCCAATTATGCGTGCCGCAAAGAATATCTTCTTCGGTCAACAATGGTCAAGCCTCCCACCTACACAATTCCCTACACTCGCAGGCAAGAATTTAACCACCAATCGCCCACACAGGTACCCACCGCACATGTTTGAGAACAAAAATGAGATATGGAGTTCAAATGATGGACATTATGCAATGAATCCATAATAAAAAGAAGATAAATAAAAATAAAAAAAAGAAAACAAGCGTGCAAGAATCACATACTAGATATCGGAGTAAGATGAAGGTGAAATCTGAGTTATGAGCAAGGTAAATTCCTTAATTCCGATCCTTGATATGTGATCTGTGTGCGTGATTAAAATGTTTTTGGCTTTTCTTTTGTTTCTTTTGTTTTTGTGTTTTTGTTTTTGTGAGAGTTATTAAGTGTTCGTGTGTGAGTGGGGTTGATAGTATGCGAAGGATTAGGGATTTATACCTAGATGTTTGCGGTGGGCAAGTGGTCGCATAACACATTATGCGGTCACATATGTGTTATGCGATGAGTTTAGAGCTGAGTTATTTTACCTCCATTCTGCGATGCATCCTGCGGTCGCATAACAGCTATGCGGACCGCATAACTTGAACTCTTACCGCAGTTTTCAGACCCAAGTTCCCCAAATTCACTGATTGTGTTTGCGACAACTATGCGGTTCGCAAAGTCATTATGCGACCGCTTAGTTGCCGAAAGCCCCTGATCCACCATTTTTTGCTTTAGTCTTTGCACTCTGTTTCATGGTAAATTTGGCTACCTGTACTCTAATACACACGTAAACCTGTTCAATCACTGACAACTAAAAAAAAAATATAATTTTACCACACATGGGTTGCCTCCCAAGAAGCGCTTGATTTAATGTCACGGCACGACGATGTTAGTCCCCTTTTTGGGCTACTCAGTGGTGGGGGTCGGACTATCCTTGAGAGCAATTTGCTCTATCATGTGCTTGTCTCCTGTTGTGCCCAGGTAATTCTTAACCCTTTGTCCATTTACTTTGAAAGTGTGAAGTCCGTCTTTCGACTCTAATTCAATAGCATCGTAAGGGGACACATTCACAATTTTGAATGGGCCAGACCATTTGGATTTAAGTTTGCCCGGAAATAACTTGAGTCTCGAGTTGAAGAGCAGGACCAAGTCACCAGATTTGAATTTCCGTTTCAAGATCTTCTTGTCATGAACAAACTTCATTCGTTCCTTATACATGGCTGCACTCTCATAGGCATGGAGACGGAATTCTTCCATTTCGTTGAGTTGTGTCATTCTCAGATTAGCAGCTTCAGCCCAGCCAAGATTTAACCTTTTTAGAGCCCACATGGCTTTGTGTTCAAGATCCACGGTCAAATGACACGCCTTACCAAAGAGTAACCGATACGGTGAGGTGCCAATGGGAGTCTTAAATGCGGTGCGATATGCCCACAATGCATCCTCTAGCTTCCTTGACCAGTCGGTCCTGTTTGCATTGACAATTTTTGCTAGGATGTTTTTAATCTCCCTGTTGGAAATTTCAACTTGACCACTCGAGTGAGGATGATAAGGCGTGGCCACCTTGTGCTTTACTCCATACTTTTCAAGCAGCCCGGTAAAAGCCTTGTTGCAGAAATGAGAACCACCATCACTAAGGACCTCATTGTTGGGTAAGGCGATTGCCTCAACCCACTTGGAGACATAGTCCACTCCCACCAAGATATATTTCATGCCATAAGAACTCACAAAGGGACCCATGAAATCAATCCCCCACACACCAAAGATCTCGACCTCCGTTACAAACTTTATAGGCATCTCATGCCTTTTAGAGATTGATCCTTGCCTTTGACATTGCTCACAAGCCTTAACCATTTGATTCGCGTCATGGTAGATAGATGGCCAATAATAGCCATATTCAAGTACTTTCGCGGCCGTCCGATTTCCTCCATGATGACCCCCAACCGGGGAGTCATGGCATGCTTTGAGAATTGGCATTACTTCATCTTTCGGAACACATCGCCGAATGATGTTGTCGGCACAAATACGAAACAAGAAGGGCTCCTCCCAATAGTATTGCCTACACTCCCACAAGAACTTTTTCTTTTGATATGTTTCCAATCCATCGGGGACAAGGTCGCTAACCAGATAGTTAGCAATATTGGCATACCAAGGAGCAAATGTGTCAGACAATGCCAATATGTGCTCATCTGGAAAACCATCATTGATGTCAAAGTCCTCTTTTGGCCTCCCTGCTTCTTCAAGCCTAGATAAGTGATCCGCAACTTGGTTTTCCGTCCCTCTTTGATCCTTGACTTCAAAGTCAAACTCTTGCAACAAAAGGACCCATCGAATCAATCTTGGCTTGGCATCTCTCTTCGCCATAAGATAGCGAAGAGCAGCATGATTAGTATAGACTATAACCTTGAATCCTAACAAATAGGCCAGAAATCTTTCAAAAGCATAGGCAATGGCAAGAAATTCTTGCTCGGTCACAGTATAATTCATCTGAGCACCATTGAGAGTCTTGCTTGCATAGTAGACGGGATGAAGTATTTTGTTATGTCGTTGACCAAGCACCGCCCAAATGGCTACACCACTAGCGTCACACATGAGTTCAAATGGAACAGACCAATACGGTGTGACAATAATAGGTGCCGTGGTGAGCTTTTCTTTCAACTCCTCAAATGCTTTGAAACACTTTTCATCAAATACGAACATAGCATCTTTTTCAAGGAGCTTGCACATGGGGTTTGCAATTTTTGAGAAGTCCTTGATAAAGCGCCTATAGAAGCCGGTGTGCCCCAAAAAACTTCGGACACCCTTTACTGAAATGGGTAGAGGAAGCTTATAAATGATTTCAATCTTTGCTCGGTCAACCTCTATGCCTTGTTTGGAAATTTTGTGGCCCAAAACAATGCCCTCATCCACCATGAAGTGGCACTTTTCCCAATTTAGTACAAGGTTTGCTTCTTCACATCTTTTGAGCACTTGTCTAAGGTTGTCAAGACAATGCTCAAAGGAATCACCTACTACAGAGAAGTCATCCATAAACACTTCTAGGAAATATTCCACCATGTCCGAGAAAATTGACATCATGCATCGTTGGAAGGTAGCCGGAGCGTTGCATAGCCCAAATGGCATCCGGCTAAAAGCAAAAGTCCCATATGGGCATGTGAATGTTGTCTTCTCCTGATCTTCCAATGCAATGTTGATTTGGTTATAGCCGGAGTATCCATCCAAAAAGCAATAAAATGACCTTCTCACTAGCCGATCAAGCATTTGATTAATAAAAGGCATAGGGAAATGGTCTTTGCAAGTGGCACTGTTGAGCTTCCGGTAGTTCATGCAAACTCTCCATCCGGTCATAGTCCTTGTTGGGATGAGCACATTTTTCTTATTTTGGATAACGGTCATGCCTCTTTTCTTTGGCACACATTGCACCGGGCTCACCCAAGAACTATCGGCAACGGGATAGACTACTCCGCCGTCTAACCACTTGATGATTTCCTTCTTCACCACCTCTTGCATGGACGGGTTTAATCTTCTTTGGTTCTCCACACAAGGTTTGGTTCCTTGTTCCAATTGTATTTTGTGCTCACAGATTCCGACGGGAATCCCTGGGATGTCCGCTATTATCCACCCAATGGCTTGTTGATGTTCCCGTAGGACATTCAATAAATGATCTACCTGCACCTCATTCAACAAGGAAGAAACGATTACCGGTAAAGTATTATTAGAGCCAAGAAATTTATACCTTAAGTGTGGTGGAAGTGGCTTGAGTTCAAGTTGTGGCGGCTCAATAATTGAAGGCTTTGCCGGGGGAGTAGCTCTATTCTCTAAGTCAAGAGAAAGCTTCTTTGGTGCGTAAGTGTAAGACCCAAGTTCTTCTAATGCATTCATCGATTCCATGTACCCCTCCATGTTTTCACCATCGAAATTTACTAATATTGCCGCCAAAGCCTCACCTAGGAATTCTTCTTCCATTTTCATTTCACTTACGTCCTCTACTTCATCAACAACATCAATGACTGAGATGCCTTCATATGCATGTGGCAACTTCATACTCTTACTTGCTTGGAAGGTGACCTCTTCATCATTAACTCGGAGCTTGATTTCATTTCGTTCCGAATCCATAAGTGCTCTTCCGGTAGCAAGGAATGGCCTCACCAAGAGGATAGGGATTTCTTTGTCAACGACACAGTCAAGGATCACAAAATCGGCCGGAAAGACGAACTTTCCCACTTTTACTAAGACATCATCAATAATTCCCACTGGTCTTTTGATTGAACGATCGGCCGTTTACAATCTCATGCTTGTAGGTATCGGCATTCTTAACCCCGCTTGCTTGTAAATGGCAAGAGGCATCAAGTTAATGCTAGCCACGTTGTCACAAAGAGCCCTTGCAAAATCTAGCAAGCCAATAGTGCATGGAATGTTGAATGCTCCCGGGTCTTCTTTTTTTTCAACGGTGCTTGTTGCAATAATAGAGCTAACCCGGTGAGTAACATTCACTACTTCATTCTTGGTGGTTCTTTTCTTTGTTATCAACTCCTTTAAGTATTTAGCAAAACCCGACATCTCTTGAAAGGCTTCCACAAATGATATGTTCACCGACAATTGCTTGAGAATGTCATAAAATTTCTCGAATTTGCTATCATCAACCCTCCTAGCAAGTCTTTGAGGGAACGAAGGGGAAGGTCTAGGAATTGGTGCTAGAGCTTTTGGTGCCTCTTTCCTCTTTACCTTTTCATGATTTTCTTCTTGGACTTTTACTCCTTTTGGGAGCTTTTCAACTTCAACAACAATCAGCACTTCAACTTGTGCTTCAACCTCTTGCTCAAGATCATCTACTCCAACAATTTGTTCATTTTCTCCTTGAAGTACCTTCCCGCTTCGCGTGGTGATTGCCATGCAATGAGAAGTTGGACCACTCCCATTTCCTTTAGGGTTTGCAATTGTGTCACTTGGGAGTGTGCCCTTCGGCTTTGGATTATGCTCTCTTGACATATCTCTCATTTGCATTTCTAGCTTTAGTATGGATGCGGTGTATGACCGCACAAGTCCGGACATGGTTTTCATTGTAGTGTCGCTACTTTCTTGATTTTGCAATATTCTTTCAATCATGCTCTCCAACTTGGACTCACTTGAAGAACCTTCCTTATAATGTGAGGAGTTAGAGTATTGCCCCTTTGGTGGAACATAGGGGTTTGAACTCCGGTTTGCATAGTTGTTGTTGTTATTGCTCCAATTACCTTGACTTGATCCACCTTGATCATTGCGCCACTGTTGATGGCCTTGCCCTTGCAAGTTAGGCCTCCATTGATTTTGTTGGCGATAACCACCTTGAGAATTATGGACGTAGTTCGCCTCCTCGCAATCTTCGGTTGACCAGGGTTGCACATCTTCCACAACATTTACCTTTTTAGTTTGGTTTTCAGTGAACATCTTGGTTAACACATTAATGTTTGTGGCAGGACCGGCAATTACTTGATCTCTCTCTTGATTCTCCTTAATCATGTTGGTCAAAGAGGGAGTACCGTATGCAATTCCACCTGTGGTATCTTCCGAGTACCAAGCTTGATTGTGTTCTGCCATCCTGTCGAGAATTTGTGTGATCCTTGTGAATGTTTTATCCATAAAAGATCCATCCGCAGTATTATTTGCTATGGATTGGTTCAACGGATCCAAACCCATGTAAAACTTTTCTAACAAGATTTTTTCTGGAAAACCATGATTAGGCGACCTCACTAGGTATAGCTTGAACTGATCCCATGCCTCATGTAGGTGTTCTCCCGGTAGTTGCTTGAAAAAGAAAATTTTATCCCTGAGCTCAGATTTCTTGCTTTGTGGGAACCATTTGCCTAAGAAAGCACGAACTAGTTCAGGCCAAGAGTGAATGGAGTGAGGTGGTAGATTTTGGATCCATTTCCTTGCCTCTCCAACTAGTGAGTACTTGAATACCCTCAGTCTTAGGGCATCATCTGACACGTTGTTCTGTTTGTGCATCGCACACACACCCAAGAAGTTTCTAGGATGTTGTGTTGGATCATCATCGGTAGAATTCCTAAAACATCCCTCTGCTTTAAGCATTAGGATCAAACCATGTTCCACCTTGAAGGTAGCGGCGTCAACTCGCGGAGGGACAATGGCATTGGTGTCCTCGATGTACTCATCTATATCCGCAAAAGGAGTTTCTTCTTCGTCATACTATGCCATGTTTATCTAACACACCAAGCAAAGCAAGCAAAGTGTGATGGAATAAAAACATGAAGTAAAGCACACACTAAATCATAATTTCAAAATCGTATTCCCCGGCAATGACGCCAAAATTTGATACGCTCAAATTACACCTTAATAATTAGTGTAAAGCTGTCGATGTCAAATATAATAACCCAACTAGGTTGGGGTCGAATCCCACAGGGAATAGGTGTGAAAAGGTTACTTGAGTAGTGTGAAACTTGACTTAATTTGTAATTCTATTCCGTTAGTTGAAAAGAATGTTGCAATTGAGTGAAATGAATTCAAGTAGAATATTGTGAGGTTGTGATTAATTTGATTAAGGAAATCAAGGTTGTGTCCCCATTGATGTAATGTAATGCTATCGGGGTTAATATGATATATTTCTAATGGAAAGTCCTTTGATATGCAAATGGTTTCTAAGTGACTACCCACTATTCCCAATAGTTGAGTAATATCTACTCTTCAAGATTTTACCAAATGTAAAAGAGTTGCGATTGAAAATAACCAATTTATGCCAAATAGAACCCACTTATTCCTAGGCGATTCCATTAAACAAAGGTTAAAGCCTTGAGTTTTTGGTATTCAATTCTACCAAACCCTAGCCCGCTTTTCTNACTTTTCCAAGTGAAGATAGAGTGAAATGGAATTAGTTAATGTTTGCAACCACTAACATCACATGAAGCATAAGAATTGAATAAATATCAACCAACCATTATATATTTATTCAATGGTAAATACCCATTAATATTACACCCATCTAGGGTCCACAACATTAGTAATTAAAACTAGCTACTCATACTAAACTCTAAGAACAAAGCGATAAATAGAGTCATAAAGCTTACAAAGATACAAGATTCTCTCTTCAAAAGTCCCCAAAATAATGGTGCATTCAATGCTGTAAAAGTAATCTCTTTTTCTGACTTTTTTCTCCCCCACAAAAACCCTAATAAATCTATTTATAGTGGGCTAAAAGTCGGAGCCAAAATTGGACAAAAATAACCCTGCAGATAGTTTATGCGACCGCATACTGGTCGTAGATCACGTATGCGGTCCGCATATTATTCGAAATCGCCGCATAATCTCATGTATCCAACCCCAGCTCTTGACCACATTCCAATTATGCGGTCTGCATATACATTATGCGACAGCATATTCCTCCGCATAAGTGCTTCTCAGCTTTCTTGATTTCAGTTATGCGATCACTATGTAGTCTACATAATCGTTATGCGACCGCATAATGGGTCGCATGTTTTTCTCTTCAGTTAACCAACAATCTGCTTCAGTATGTGATGGGTATGCGGTCTGCATATGCTTTATGCGACCGCATACTTGCGTCATTTCTACCCTTTTGTGGCCTTTTGACTTCTTTTCCATGTTTTTGGATCCTCAAGCCTCATGCACTGCAAAACACCAAAACTTCATTAAAATTAACTAAAAATGCATTGAAAGATGAGCTAAAGTCTATGTAATTGGTATCAAATGTGCCGAAATTCTACGGCACATCAACACCCCCAACCAGCTCGGGGTAGGGCTCAGTCAGTTATGGGTCGCCAAAGAGGGGGAGACCGATCAGGTGGCGGTCAGGCCCGATTCTATGCTTTTCCTGCCATACCAGATGTTGTTGCTTCAGATGCAGTGATCACAAGTTTTTTCTCAGTGTGCCACAGGGAGGCTTCTATATTATTTGACCCTGGTTCCACTTATTCGTATGTTTCATCGTATTTTAATCATTATCTAGATATTCCCCATAAGTCTTTAGTTTCACCTGTTCATGTATCTACGCCGGTGGGTGATACTATTATTGTGGACCGTATGTATCGGTCATGTGTGGTAACTATTGGGGGACTGGAGACTAGAGTTGATCTCTTATTGCTTAGTATGGTTGATTTCGATGTAATCCTAGGTATGGATTGGTTGTCCCCTTGTCATGTTATTCTGGACTGTCACGCAAAAATCGTGATGTTGGCAATGCCGGGGTTGCCAAAGGTCGAATGGAGAGGTTCTCTAGATTATGTTCCGAGTAGAGTAATTTCTTATTTGAAGGCCCAACGTATTGTGGGGAAGGGGTGTTTGTCATATGTGGCTTTGTTGAGAAATATTGATGCAAATACCCCCACTATTGATTCAGTACCGGTAGTGCGAGACTTTCTGGATGTATTTCCTGCAGACTTGCCGGGTATGCCACCCGACAGGGATATTGATTTCGGTATCTACTTAGTGTTGGGCACACAACCCATATCTATTCCTCCGTATCGTGTGGCACCAGTTGAATTGAAAGAGTTGAAAGAGCAACTTCAGGAACTTCTTGATAAGGGGTTTATTAGGCCTAGTGTGTCGCCTTGGGGTGCACCAGTTCTGTTTGTAAAAAAAAAGATGGTACTATGCAGATGTGCATCGATTACAGGCAACTAAATAGAGTTACAATCAAGAATAAGTTTCTTTTGCCTCGTATTGATGACTTATTTGACCAGCTTCAGGGAGCGAGGGTATTCTCCAAAATTGATTTGAGATCCAGGTATCACCAGTTAAAAATTCGGGATTCAGATATTCTAAAGACTACATACAGGACTCGTAATGGTCACTATGAGTTTCTCATGATGTCGTTTGGGCTGAGCAACACCAAAAAAACATTTATGCACTTGATGGATAGTGTATTCCAGCCATATCTTGATTTATTTGTCGTAGTATTTATTGTTGATATCTTGGTGTACTCACGTAGCCAGAAGGAGCATGCACAACACTTGGGTATTGTATTACAAAGGCTGAGAGAGGAGAGACTGTATGCCAAATTATCTAAGTGTGAGTTTTGACTTAGTTCAGTGGTATTCTTGGGACATATAGTATCCAGTGACGGAATTAAGGTAGGTCCGAAGAAGATAGAGGCAGTTTAGAGTTGGCCCAGGACATCTTTAGCTACTGAGATTTGAAGTTTTCTCGGCTTGGCCGGTTATTATCGTCGCTTTGTAGAGGGTTTCTCATCTATTACATCGCATATAACTAAATCGACCTAGAAAGGTGCTCCGTTCAGATGGTCAGATGAATGTGAAGAGAGCTTTGAGAAGCTCAAGATAACTTTGAGTACATCCCCAGTATTGGTGTTGCCTATAGGTTTAGGGTCTTATACTGTGTATTGTGATGCGTCACGTATTGGTCTCGAAGCAGTGCTGATGCAAGATGGTAGGGTGATTGCCCACGCGTCCAGACAATTAAAGGTACATGAGAAGAATTATCCGGTCCATGACTTTTTAACAGCTATTGTTCATGCCTTAAAGATTTGGCGGTATTATTTGTACGGTGTCCATTGTGAGGTTTATACAGATCACCGGAGTCTACAACATCTATTTAAACAGAATGATCTAAATTTTTGGCAGTGGAGGTGGTTGGAGTTGCTTAAGGATTATGATATCAACATTCTCTATCATCTCGGAAAGGCCAATGTGGTGGCCGATGTCTTGAGTCATAAGGCGGAGAGTTTGGGCAGCTTAGCATACTTACCGGTAGTAGAGAGGGCTTTAGCCTTGGATGTTCAGGCCTTGGCCAACCAGTTTGTCAGATTGGATATTTCCGAGCCTAGTCGAGTTTTGGCTTGCGTGGTTTCTCAGTCTTTTCTTTATGATCGTATCAGAAAACGTCAGTATGATGATCCCCATCTGCTTGTCCTTAAGGACACGGTTCAGCACGGTGATGCCAAGGAAGTCACTATTGGGGATGACGGTGTATTACGTATGCAGGGCAGGCTATGTGTGCCTAATGTAGATGGTTTGCATAAGTTGATTCTCCAGGAGGCTCATAGTTCGCGGTACTCCATTCATCTGGGTGCCGCGAAGATGTATCATGAATTGAGGTAGCACTATTGGTGGAGGCGGATGAAGAAAGATATAGTTGGGTTTGTAGCTCGGTGTTTAAATTGTCAACAGGTGAAGTACGAGCTTCAGAGGCCGGGCAGATTGCTTTAGAGACTTGAAATTTTGGAGTAGAAGTGGGAGCGTATTACCACGTTGTTAGGTTCCTACGGACTTTGAGAAAGTTTAACGTTGTTTGGGTGATTGTAGATCGGTTGACCAAGTCCTCGCATTTTATTCTAGTTGGTACTACTTATTCTTCAGAGCGGTTGGCTGAGATTTATATCCGCAAGATTGTTCGCCTACACGGGGTACCAGTGTCCATCATTTCAAACTGGGGCACGCTGTTTACATCACAATTTTGGAGAGCAGTGCAGTGAGAATTGGGCACACAAGTTCAGTTGAGTATAACATTTCACCCTCAGACGAACAGACAATCCAAGCGCACTATTCATATATTGGAAGATATGCTACGTACTTATGTTATAGACTTTGGGGGTTCTTGGGATCAATTTCTGCCACTCACGGAGTTTGCTTTCAATAACAGCTACAAATCGAGAATTTAGATGGCTCCGTATGAGGCTTTATATGGGAGATGGTGTCGGTCTCCGGTGGGTTGGTTTGAGCCGGGTAAGACTAGGCTATTGTGTACTAACTTGGTTCAGGATGCTTTGGAGAAGGTTAAATTGATTCAGGAGCGGCTTCACACGGCTCAGTCTAGACAGAAGAGTTATGCCGATCGGAAGGTCCGTGATGTTTCTTACATGGTTTGGGAGAAGGTTCTGCTCAAGATTGTCCCCATGAAGGGTGTGTTGAGGTTCGAGAAGAAGGGCAAGTTGAGCCCTCGGTATATTGGGCCGTTTGAGGTGCTTAAGAAAATTGGAGAGGTGGTTTATGAACTTGCATTGCTGCCTAGTCTATCGAGTGTTCATCCAGTGTTTCATGTATCTATGCTCCGGAAGTATGTCGGGGATCCGTCTCATGTTTTGGATTTCAGCACAGTGCAGTTGGATGATAATTTAACTTATGATGTGGAGCCGGTGGCCATTTTAGACCGGCAGGTTCGAAAGTTGAGATCAAAGAACATAACTTCAGTGAAAGTGCAGTGGAGAGGCTAGCTAGGCCGAGAAGCTACTTGGGAGACTGAGCGGGAGATGCGAAGCAAATATCCACACCTATTTGAGACTCCATGTATAATTTTAAACCTGTTCGAGGACGAACGTTTGTTTAAGAGGGGGAGAATGTAAAGACTCGGCCGGTAATTTTGAGTATTACAACCTCGTCTCCCCATTTATTGTTCAAATTGTGCTTTACGGTTGTTATTTGACTTACCGGGGTAATTGGTTCGGGCCCGGTTAGGTTTTGGAATGATTTGGAACACTTAGTTCCAAGGTTTAGAACTTAAGTTGAAAGGGTTGACTGGATGTTAACTTATGTGTAACGACCCGAGAAAATTTTTGTTAATGAAAGTTTTTGGCCGAAGAAGGCAATTTGCGGTCGGGTTTGCGATCGCAGATTCACTATGCGGACCACATAAATGTTGCAGAGTGAAGCAGAAATGAGCCAAGTTTGAGGACCATTGTGCGATCAATTATGCGACCGCATAATCATTTCGTGGACCGCAAAACCTATCGCAGAATCAACTTGGATTTTTGGAGGGAAGTTATGCGGTGCAGTATGCGACTGCAGAACAGGTCTATGGTGCATTTTGCGATCGCAGAACAGGTCTGCAGGCCACAAATCTGCCGCAGATCCAACCAGAAACAACCCAATTTTTGGAGATCAATTCCGCGCTCCATTTTGCGGGCCGTACAACAGTTCTGCGGTCCACTTTGCGATCGCAGACCTTAGTTCGGAGAGTCCATTTTTTGATTTTTATAACCCAACCCAACTTCGATTTATAGTCCTTGAAGCTCATTTTGGAGCAAAAATCTGACATTTTTAGAGAGAAGGGAGAGTGTTCTAGAGAGAGGAAGAAGCTCAAGTGCTTTGTTCATCAAGATCTTGTTCAAGCTTTGAAATCCAACAAGAAAATATCACAAGATCTTCACACAAGAGGTAAGGTTCTAACCCCTAGTCTTCAATTTTGAGTTTGGGTAAAGATGAGTGATTGGGAGTATAATTCTTGGGTGTGAGAGTATTAATTATATATGCTTGTACCAATAAGGTTTGTAGGAAGATTGTTGAGTTCAAATGGGTAAGGATTGGGTTGAAAATGGTAGAAATATTCAAAGACTTTAATTGAAGATTTGAGGGTCGAGTTGATGACGGAATTTGGTAAAATTTGTATGGTTGGATGTGCGTTCATATACCGTAACGTTTGTCGGGTTCTAAGACTGGGCCCCACAGACAATGTTTTGAGTTAAATTTTAGATTTTTATTGGAAAATTAGTATTTTCTTATAGAATTAATTCCAATAATTTGTATTGACTGAATCAAATTAATTCTGGCTAGATACGAGGCTTTCGGAGACCAATTCGTGAGGCAAGGGCATAG